CTCAACACATTCAAACCTGAAAAATGGATTATGTTGCAAAGTTATTCGTCAGGCATATGTAGAGCAAAGAAATATCGAATGACTCTTTCATCTATGATGTGTTTGCATGCGCAATAAATAGACTTCATATGTAGAAAAAGGATATGATATAAACCTAAGCGCTTCGGTCAGTAAGAGGTTCAAAAACTAATTTCACATCTGATGGTGCTGAGTGATGCGCAAAACTTTAGCGCCAGTTGGGACTTGAACCCTCATTTCACCCTATCAGGGCGCACGTCCTCTACCCCGATGCATTACTGAAGCCTGTCTGGAAACCACTCTACAACTCTACTCCACAACGCATCAATCTGTCACCAACCAATCGTCAGCTTTTTGACCAGGTGGTCGATACCTACATCGAACTCAGTTACTCTGACAGATGTAGGATATATATGTTAAAGGCAAGAACTCTTTCTATGCAAGCGTTTTAAAGCGGTGGTATCAATATTGCATTTGCATTCTGTATCTCACCAACATTTCCTACTGGAGTCATATCACGCAGAGCAAATGAAAGTTGATCGCTTCAGGAAATCGTGAAGTTTCAGAAGTACCAACAGATCTCTTAAAGTGTTCTTGAATTGTGGCTAGTATGTGATTAGATCAAACTGAATATTACGCCTAGACTATCATAAGCAAGCCTGCCTAACACATCCAACAAGATATGAGTCAAATAATGCGCATATGCAGGTCTATTTTTGAATGGAAGTGTTAGAAATGAACAAGTGAGAAAAATACAACAGTGGACTGAAGATGATCGAAACCCGTGCTCTAAGACGCCATCCTGCAAGCTAGTCGTTTATATATGTTTTTCACCCTTACAAGTAATCGGAATACTAAAAAATCAGCAAGTAACGGGTGATGCCGAAAGGTATCTTTATATATATTTTATTTATTTTCTTACTGTGCGTATATCAGCACTTCTTGCATTTGATTCATTTGATCTAGTTCGTTCTCCATGAAGGTTCTATAATACTTTCCGTGTTGTCGCGGTTATTGTTAAAGATTCCTCCTTGTTCGTGCGCGGCAGAGAATGCTGGTTGACAGGATTTTCTTTGCCACAATGGACGGACTTGAGTTAAGTTCTTAGATAAGTATGAACGCTGTTATTCTCTTCCTTGCTGTTATCGTTTTTTCTAAACGCTGGCCTTCGCTTGTTAACAGGGTGGTTTCACAATGTTATAATAAATGTTTTGTTGCGAGCTGCTGTTAAGTATTGCAGAAGGAAGAGCCGGTTAGATTAAAATTTAATTGGAATTGGCAGTCACTGAAATGCCATGGAACACTCCATGAAATGAGCCAATTCGTACCCGTTTGTTTATCGTCGCAACACACGATGAGAAGCAAATTGTGACCTCACAAAACGTGGAATGGTCTTGCTGATTACAGTCGAGTCAATCTAGTCGGCTAAATACCACCATGACTTTGCCATGAAAGCCGAAAATCACAAAATTGCATTCTAAAGTAATTATTTTCATATAGTCACTGCTTTGTGTGTGTCTTTCACTGAGTGTTCTACTTGTGGACCAGCAGAAAGCTCACACAGATAGATAATATTCATTTCTCACTCTGTAAAAGAACTTGCTTGCTCATTGAGAAAACGTTGAACTGCTTCTTATACGTACGTATATGTCACATTGCTTCGAATTTGGTTTGAAACCCAAATAGACTATGCGACACCTATGGGTAATGCATAAATGCATGCTTATAGAGGAGGCATATATTTTGTATGCGCTCATGTATATGAGCTTGTACACGGGTGGGAGTTTATATTGAGTCACAAATTCGCAATTTTGGAAAAGAAGATTCGTCCCTAAATCAGCAGACAGCTTTCTCAAGAAGTGAAAAATTTAACAGACCGGCCTGGTGAAGGGATGAGGTGAGATTTCACACAAGAAGATATCATGATATAGTAGTCATAGAAATTGACTCAGATTCTTCTGTGTGATAAAGGACCTTTTTTCCTGAAGTTGAAGAGGGATGATCGAAGGCTATCAGAGATGTCTAAGAAATTGCTCGCTTTTCTAAACACATAATTTATTCGGCTACTTAAATAGTAAGACTAAGAACCAAAATTTATACAGAGCAATTCCAGCAATTTTCATGCATTATCTCATCAGGCTGTCAGCTATCACTAGCATGTCTTACGGGGCGTACTGTAGGCTTGGAATACTGAACAATTTGGCGACGACGAATTGCGCTTCAGCAGGACTAGGCTGCTGTGCATTCTGCCCGCTCAGCGGTTGCCATTTGTCAATAGCAGTTTCCAGAATTTCAAACAAGGATGTTTGGCCGTCAAAGTTTTCGTATCTGAATCCAAGGAATCACTCCGTGGCGGCCCATACGGGGAAAGAAGTACCAATTACTTGCTACACTACCGCAGACGCGCTTGAAACGGCCTTGACGCGCGCTTAGGGCGAAATTGTGGTGGAAATGTGTGCCAGTACCGTTGGGAATTTTCGCAGGTGACTTCGTAAATTTCAAGAGAGGCTGAAAGAAGCAGTTTGAGAATATATTATATACCTTTTTGATTATTGTTATAGCCTCTGATCCAATAAACGTCATTATTCCTTCAATATGCCTGATAATGATTTTTTAAGCAACGTATGTGGTCTGTTATAGGGCAACATATGGAGCCCGATAAACGTGTTTCGACCTTTCCAGTCTCATCAGTCGGGCGGAGCTCTTCGTCTTTAGCCAATTCTCTCGGGGAACCCAACCCCGTACTAAGAGTAGGCGACGACGGACGATTTACACGTTCCATTAAGTGGATATCACTGAATGGGCTGTGTTGTACACTCGATTGCTCTTGGCTGGTATTTTTAGAATATCGTGGAAGAAAGATATAGGATACATATGTTAGAAACAATAATTCTTTCTATTAAGCTGCTTCATAACGGTGGTATTCATATTCCAGAAGCGCATGTGGCGCAGTGGTTAGAAGTGCTCTGCGTAGCGCACGTGATCAATGGTTTGATTTCACGTTCGTGGCTCACCAAGCCATCCATCCCTACGAGTTCAGTAACTTCGTGCAGACTGGTCTCAGACTTGTCTGGGAGGATGAACAGCACTGACTCGGTTCAGCGGGAGGCCACCGCGAGTCATTGTAAAGGCCAGATGTGCATTCAATCACCTCAAACAAAGTTAAACATTGAAGACGAATGCATGGCGCATCCCTCGCGCATTGATCAACGCCTAGATCTTTATCTTTTTATCCTTTATCCATATCCCATGGTCAATTCGTATCTAAGCAATATTCCTTACCTGCGTCGCATCAAGCCGGAAAATGCAGTGAACTTTTGACCAAGTTTTGAAGTTTGAGGAGCACTCTCAGAACCCTTGAACTGTTCTTGAACTAGGACTAATATGTGGCTAAATCAAAGTGAATTTTAAAGTCTGGGTTATTGTGAAAATCCTGACTAACACAACCAGCAAAATTTGCCTGCTGTAATGCGCATATGCAGGCTTACCATCCAAGAGGAGTGTTAGAGATGAACAGGAGAGGGAAGCAATAATGAACTGTATTTGTTTTCACTTAATCAAGTAATCGCGGTACTAAAAAAATCAACATGTAACGGGCGATGTCGATAAGTGTCTTTGTATCTAATTCAACCAACCAACCATGTCAACTAGATGATTGAATACTGCAGCACACGGATAGCTTGAACATTGATCATGGAAAAGATGGCTAATGGGCTTTAGCCATTAATCCCAACTTGCTAGTTATTCGAATTACCCAGGATCAAAAACTGTAGAATGACCACTGATGTGTTGAAATCCATAAGATACATCAATGAAGCAGCAATTCCTTTAACTCTGCTCAGTTTTACTAAAGCCAGATTGAGTTAGTGTGCAGCAGGTCATAAGCCTGAAGTGCCAAACTAATAGTGCTAAAAGGACTTCAAATGGGCACATCTCGGCGTCCAACGCGACCTTCTTGTCACTCTTTGATGGCATTAGGAAAAATATATGACAATTGCAGCTAGCTGTCATTTTTGACCTTTCCATACCACTTTATAGCTCTGGTCTTTATTGCCTATCACAATTTGAATCTCAGACACTCCTGTGTGGAGCTCCCACAGATGCATTCCAGCCCAGTTTTGCCAGTCGTCAAAAAACCGAAAGCGAGGAATTTGGTGCCAGTTGTGAGCTGCACTGCTCTATACCTTCAGATTGTTTGACAAATTTTTTTTAGCTGAATGTTTTGCATTTAACATATGATAGCACCTAATGTGCAAGATTTATTAGGACAAAGTGTGTCCATACTTTCTCATGTTAACTGCTTCTTTCTTCTGATGCTCAGAAGCCTCTAGTGTTCTGATTTATGAGGCATGTTCATTGACCAGCTGATCTTTTTACCTTTCGTAACTATTACCCTATAAGATTTCGTCAGAGCGCCCCGAAAACAGCGCAATATTGATGTTAGGTTGACACCCAACCTAACATCAATAATGTGCCAGATAAATCAAGGGTCACCGTGTTAGGAGGCACGACTCTCTCCATATGCGAGCTCGCTCTTGGAAATGAGCTCAGGTTTCTCGCTAGCGCAATTTATTTCTAAGTAAATACTGTGTAGTATCGCATGCAGTGTCAAGAACTTTAAGATCGACTCCGCTATCAAGGCAGACTAGAATCTTCCAACAGGCATGAACAACAAATTGTAGAGGCAATACCACCACCGCCTTTGCCTCGAGCGTTCTTTAGGCGACGAGACCCCAATAACAAGGTAGATATTAATTCACTCATATTTTTAGACGAAGTTCTTGGAATACTTGATTATTATCGTGCGAAAAAATCCAGTCTCAACATAACATCATCACAGAAAAACGTCATATAACCGGTACGGGAGCTAATAAAATACAAAGCGATTAGACTATCGATCGAAATTCATTTACTTGACCGCCTCTTGCAGAGGTATGATGTTATAAAATACCCAATAATGTGGAGTGCTGCGCAAAAACATTTGCGTCAGCCGGGACTCGAACCCAGATCTCACTCTTTCCGGGAGCGTGTGCTGAATCGTTGCACCACCGACGCTCGTTTCGCGCAGCACTCTTTTTCGTAAAATAAAATATTGTAGTTTTGTAGCATAAAAAAAAGTGCTGTGCGAAGAGCGTCGGGGGTGCAACGATTCAGCACACGCTCCCGGAAAGAAAGAGATCTGGGTTCGAGTCCCGGCTGACGCAGTTTTTTGCACAGCACTTCACATTATTGGGTAGATTAAACTATCAGTTAATGATAATGGAGGAGGTTCGTGGTAATTCCTCATTAGTCAGATGTTCAGATAACGAAAAAACACCGCGGAGACAGCACTTACTATTGCCCGTCATTTGATAAAGAATTCCAAAAACAATATCGAAAATTGAACAAGGAATGTCTAGGAATAGCAAGCTCGGCCGGCTTAAAACTCTTCGTTATCTCTCGACTATAACTTGATCCACCATCATGTTCCTATACTTACCTATTAAAACACATTAGTTGGTATGCACTGATGATCTTGCGTCTACTAAATCATGAAACTTCAAAGTTAGATCCATCATCACCTGTGTGCACGGGCCAACGGATAAATTTACGTGGTTCATAAAATTCGTATTAGTCCAACTACTCAAATGTTCCTAGATCGCCTACGTAACGCGTCTCACAACAAGCGTACGTAGAGAAATCTTTCGACATAACCGTCGTTTATAAAAATGTGCCGAATGAGTCTGCAATGCAAGCTACCTGCGAGCTTTTAACGGTGTACGAAGGAATCACGAACATGTGTGACGTCTCTATTCGGCAGGTCATGGATCTTTCATAGAGTGCCTTAACTGCTCACTCTTCAGATGATGTGGGAATTATTCCGTACAAATCAGAGAGCTGACAATGAGACAACAACTAGCTCCAACCCTTTCCATGGTCTTTATTATCTAAGTTGAGGCCCAAATAATCAATCTCAAACCGCTACTCTATTGTTATATAGATGATTGCTCTGCCGTCTGGTCAACACAAGAGGAGATGAGCACATGTTTTGAGTTGTTGAATAGTCAACCAGAGTGCATAAAGTTCACCCATGAGAAACCAAAAGCAAATTGGTTTCCATTTTGAACGTTCAACAACCTATCCGAGAACTGCTACAAAACAAAATGGTACCGCAAGCCAAGCAACAAAACACCTCGTTTCATTACCTAACCTCTCATCTTTCACACACAAACCGCGCACTTGTCAAAAACATGCTTAGAACAGCTATCAATATGTGAACAGGAAAAGAGCATATGGTAGAATCTCTAAGCTTGGTGCGAAAAAAATCCATGTTCAACTGCTACAATAGTCGCTCCTCAGGTTTTAGAGCAAATTCGGCTCCCCTAAACGGGAGGTCTGGCGATTACAAGGTCCCATTCATCTTGCCCTTTACTTCTAACAAAGCAAGTATACCTAAGTTTAAATTCGGTAGCAGTAGTCGAGATGTCTCCAGATACACTCAAGCGTTAATTAGTATGTACCGACAGTAAGGCCGTCTCTACGGAACAAAAAAGTGCCAAGTTTGTCCAAACGGTACAGACTGCAATTGTATGAGATTGATGCAATCTACATAATCACTTGCGTGACATGAGGGACGAATACGTTAGCGAAACGGGTAAACCACCATGCGTCCGTTTTGAAGAGCACCTAGCTGGGAAACGTAAATCCGACTCAAAAGTCCCACTGGGCGCTTATAGGAATCGAAAACATGCAAAAGCAAATTTCAACGTTACTCCACTGTTTTCGCACAGTAGTCAAAGACATCCGCTTATGAAACTTCGGAAGCTTTTTGAATACATAGTAAAGGAGCAAAAATGGACCGCAAAGAGGTGTGCCTTGAATCACGCGTGACCATGCACCATATCTCAGGTTAGTTTCCCCGGTTTAGGTTAGGCACAGCCTCACTTATGCACTGACTCTGCGGCTGGCCTTAAGGAATAATTAATATACCTGACCATCTAAGCGATTAGTGTTTGATTTTGACGCTTTTTACTATTCTATCTAAAATATGTATTTTACGTTTTCTGCTGGTTTTATGGAGGATTTTGACTAAGTGGACTGCAAATCAATTTTGAATTTCCAGGTTCTGGAGCAGACGAGGTGGCGATACGTTATCCGCTGCATTGCATTATTTTATGTTATTGTACTGTTCCACTGCACTACTGCGCTCTGTATTGTACTGCATTATTACTACTCAAACACTAATGCTGCCACCTTGGAACAGGTTATCAGGATGAAACTACTGATTTATTCTAAGTACGCCGAGGATATTCGATAATCGCTCATGAGAATGCGGTATTCAGAGTGCAGCTTTCAGTGTCTGGCGCTTTGGCATCATTCTATCTTTCCAATAAAAACTTTTACGCAGTGAGAAAGTTAACTACCGACTCCAAAAAACAGCAAAAATCTATACGCAATATAAGGAACGGCGGCAGAATGAACTTTAAATCCGGGAATGTTGAGTGATATGCAAAACTATGAAGCTCTTGCTAAGATTAAGCTTGTGGTCGCTAACTTCATGGCCGTGTTCTAACCACTGCACTGCCTGAGCTCCTGTTCCATCACCACTCTCTGCGCGATATTTCAAATTGGTGTTAAGCTTCCACCATGTGTGCAGTAAGGTTTGAGGGTATATATCCTCTTTGTTCTTCGATTATGAGTTAGTCAAAAGTCTTCAGTTTTCAAACAAACCGATTTTTCAACAAATAGTTTGAACACTTCTAGTTTGTTGTGTAGTTTGTCGATATGTTCGGTAAGCCGCTCTTGGTTCTTCTCCTTTTTTCCCAGCTAGTAATCAATTCTTTGATGCAACTTTCGGACCTACGCCTGATATTGTCGATATCCTACCGATGCCTGAGAGAGATATAAGTCTCTTTTCATTCTAGGCTTTTTATGGAAATCAGTCTGTTAGTCCATATTAGTATTGATATGTGCTGTAATACTTTCAAATAAGTAGTGATCAATGGTAGGAGCTGCTACGTCTTCTTTCATATTTCTTTGAAGTCAATAAACGGCAATTTTTTGTGGCAAGAGCTAGAGTGCTACTCCAAATTCCTAGTGTTTTACTGCCTTTTTCGCAGTGTTACGATGCTTCAAATACACCTAAGAGAATTGAGTGGTGAGCAGAATTACGATCTCAGACGGGAGTCGAATCCGCGTTTCATCCATGTCGGCAACGTCCCTCTACTCTCTTATGAAATGTTCTTGTTCAGTTCTTGTTCAGCTAAAAGGGTTGAACCCCCTCTTTTCACCATATAATGGGCAAACACCGATTCATAAATTTCATTCGCCATATTGTTAATTTCTATTATTTGCCATAATTCAGTATCAAGATGTACGAATAAAATTGATAGGCTCAGTCACACAAATTCTCTGAGAGAAGATGTCTCTCACTGATTTCAGTGTCCTGCTGCATATTACGCTTTATATTAAGAAATCTATAATAAACTTACAAGCAGCGAAAATTCTTCCCTTCCATTTCGAAAATTGCGTGACGCTTTATCAGGCTTAGGGAATTGCTCCGTAGAAGTACTGCATATACTATTCCAGACCTCGAAGCTTTATGAATGTCATCATTATGTCATTCTTGAGCCTTTGAATCGGTCTTTTTTTAACAGAACAATGTTCGAGATTTTCTCTGAGCACAATACCACTAAACTACGCCAAGAAAAGTTATAGCATCTATTGTTACTTAAAGCACGCCACTGATAAGTTTTGGTCCTGTTTAGCTTCGAAGTCGCAGTGGCTAATTTATTTTGTTTAGTACAATGTTCAGAGGCAGTAACTTTGCAATATTGAGCTGAACACATTACTTCTTTTTGAATATGAAATATTTGGATGATGTGGCTGACCACTCAATGGCAGTTAAAAACTTTTCTGGGAAGGGCCCTTGATGGAATAGATGATGTTTACGTTGTATGAACATCGTAATTTTCTAAGCACACGCCATATCGTTACTGCTGGCATATGAGGTCACTGTCCATTGCCATTTTTAGCTCACCTAAGCCACACATTTAGCTGCTGAAAGAAAATTTTTCGCTAACCTGGCATTATCCTTTTGCTATCATTCATCTACTACTCCAAACTACGATTTGCGCAGTTCTCCATGTTATTCCTGACAGTTACCTATGGGGTATGCATTAGTACGACTCGCATGATCTGGTGCCGCTCAATGTTCCCAAAAATATCTCAGTTCCAAAGCAACATGGCGAGATATTGATTAATCGCGTTTGTGCTGATGATGATATCAGTCTCGAGTTTCTTCTTGATCCACAAAGCTCGTCTTCTGTTTCGTTTTGCCTCCAAGAGTCTTTATGTGATTTCGAGTGAGCGATAATGATTCTTACCTGATCTATCGTTTCGAGTGTTTTCTTAAGACCACAGTTCAAAGTTCAGTACGCCAAGTAGTCATTTTTGAGCCACGCATTTCACGTGGTCTCTTAAAAAGGCCTAACTTGTGGACCCCGATACACGTGTTTAGACCTTGCAGTCTCGACAGTCGGGCATTTACCCTTTCTCGTCTTTTGCCAATCTTGTGTGGGTGCTCCAGTCCCATATTATAAGACGACAATGAGATATGATATATTCAATATACTAGACATGAGCAATCGAGTGCACAACACTCTGTGTTCGGTGATAATACTGGACATGAAGTGTAGAACGTTCAAGGTCGCTATCCTTAGTGTGGGGAATGGAGCGCCCACACAGGGTTGGCAAATGATGAGAAAGTGTAACTGCACGACTGACGAGACTGCAAGGTCGAAACACTTGTATCGGGCTCTATAAATCAGCCCTTTTTAACAGACCAATGTTATGCGTGGCTCAAGAATGATTATGTGGCAGATTCTTATCAGAGTTCTCAAACTATTCCTAAATTAGGTTATGTAACTACGTCACATTCTAAGATCAGACATCTTCACCGGGGACCTCATTTTCCTGTACGCGCTTCTGAACTTCCAAACGGATTTGGGACACCACAACCTAAGCGCGCAATACCTAAATGAAATATATCACCATAACAGAATAATCAGTGATAG